GGGCGCCGCCGCGAAGGCCGGAGTGAAGTTCACGGCGACGGGCGGCGCGGGCGGAGGGCACGGGGTTCTCGAGGTGGCATCGCCGTTCCTGAGACCATTCCACAAAGGGGGCTTGCTCTGCACCGGCCGCAGAGGATAGCGAATCCCCAAGTGCCAGCACACCCCGCACCCCAGCTCTGAACGATTAGTTGCGAAAATGCGGCTTGGACACAATTTTCCAAGTGTTGGGAGCTTGGTGGCGGCGGCGGACGAATTAGTTAAAGCATTGAGATCTGAGTACCACAAGCCATGTTTCTGTAGTCTTAGCTGAAATGAGATTGCCTTGGCAGGAAGTAAAGCACACGGAGTCTAAATAGTGTTCCATTAAGAGGCTGAGGCAGGAGGATCCCCGCGATTTCGAGGCCAGCCTGAACCTAGTAGTGAGCCCCTGTCTGGAAAAACAAAAAAACGAAACAAAGTTAGGAGGTGATATGTTCAAAAACAGCCTTCGAGCCGGCCGTGATGGCGCACGCCTGTAATCCCAGCACTCGGGAGGCTGAGGCAGGAGGATCCCCGCGATTTCGAGGCCAGCCTGAACCTAGTAGTGAGCCCCTGTCTGGAAAAACAAAAAAACGAAACAAAGTTAGGAGGTGATATGTTCAAAAACAGCCTTCGAGCCGGCCGTGATGGCGCACGCCTGTAATCCCAGCACTCGGGAGGCTGAGGCAGGAGGATTGTTGCCAGTTCGAGACCAACCTGGGCTACAAAGTGAGCTCAAGGCCAGCCTGAACTGCATAATGAGACCCTGTCTCAAAAAGACAAAAAACAAACAAAAAATAGCCTTTGTAGAGGAAAAAATGCTATTAAGTGGCATAATAGAGTGGGGTGGTATTTGACCCACTCATCATTAATTACTTTAAAAAAAAACAGAGATTAGGAGTAGTTCATGGTAGAGTGTAGTTTTACCAGGCTCAGAAGACTGGGTTCAGTTCTCAAGAATAAAAAATACCAACCAACCAAACTGGGTAAAACACCGATCTCAGTTGTAAACGTCCAGGTTGCTGAGAGCTGCACTGTATTCACTTTCTCTGGTCTGTCTGTCTGTCTCTCTATCTACCTATCTATCTATCTATCTATCTATCTATCTATCTATCTTTTTGAGACAGAGTCTTGCTATGCAGTTCAGGCTGGCCTTGAGCTCACTTTGTAGCCCAGGCTGGTCTCGAACTCCCAACGATCCTCCTGCTTTAGGCTCCCGAGTGCTGGGATTACAGGCATGAGCCGCCTCGCCCAGCTCTCTGATCACTTTATATTCTGCTTTACACAGGGCACCACTGCTAAAGAACATTTTTATTTTTAATTTGAAAATTTTGAAAATTTGAAACGATTTAGATACTGCTGAGGTTAGATATGAAAGGAGGATGAGAAGTGCTTAAAAGAGCTGAATTTGGGCCACGCTCGCTGGCGCTTGCCTGCAGTGGTAAAATTCAGGAGGCAGAGCCAGGAGGATCCAGGCCGGCCTACAGTATAGATTGAGGCCCTGTTCCATCCCTCTTTCTCCTCCATCAAAATAAAGGGCTGGGGGGGTAGTTTACTGTAAAGATCTATGTTGGACTCCAAGTTTTAAAAAAAAATTGGGAACTACAGATTCAGGCTTACAGCATGTGAGGAAAGGAGAAAAGTAGGACAGTAATAGAGCCACTTCCTCTAAGCAGAATATGCCTCTTTGGTCAGGTGTGTTACTTTTTATTTATTTATTTATTTTGAGACACAGTCTGTGTAGCTCTGGCTGGCCTTGAACTCATGGCAATCCTCCTACCTTAGGCTCCCTGCTGGGATTACTAGGTGAGCACCTGGCAGGTGAGTTTATTTTTGAACAGTTTGCCCAGTTTTAGTAGCTTCTACCCACCTTCGTTTTTTTCTGAGAAACGCATGCTGTCATGTTGTGTTGCTTAATCTAATATAATTCTGTAGTGAACCAGTATTTTAAAAAAAAATCTGCTCCATACAAGGTTTTGTGCTAGCATTTAAATAGATAAATTATGCTTCACAGAAGAACTAAAAGAGGGCTCTAATTAATTAATGAATGCCATTAACATCCTTTGCAGGATGGCCCTTTTTAGCTTGGTAATTCATTAAAATATAGAGCTGATTGCATTTATTGTAATAAAGAAGATGACCAGGGTTGCATAATTAAAAGTAATGGATTGTTTTTCTAATAGTTAAATATTCTTGTCTTTTGTGAGCAGATTTATGTCCCACATAGAGTTCTTTGGATAACTTCTACTGAAGGTGATAAGTTTAGATGATACAAACCAATTCCAGTAAAATTGTTACCCTAGATAATTGACTCAGTGATTCTTAACTCTTCTAAAGTCCAGATTTTCACATTTTTCTATGTGATTCATTGAAAATTTTTGGCTCTGTTCCTACAAAAGTTGTGTATAGCATATTTATTATATGGCAGATGTACATACAGTTAGTGTTTTTTCTGTCTAGGGGTAATGGAACTTTGTACTTGATTGTACAGTACCATTAAAGAAAGCAAGATTTGTATCCTCTTTAGGTAAAAACTGAGAAGGTAAATGATAACAGGATACTGTCTTAAGTATTGCTTTAATGGAATGGTTCTCAAACTTTTTGGTCAGAGGATCTTTTTTTTTCTCCCTTGAGGTACTGGGGATTGAATGCATGGTCTCACGCATGCCAGGCAGCCATCTCAAGATCCCTTTTAATTTTTACAAATTGTATAGGTACTTAAGTAGCCTTTGTTGGTATGGGATACTTGCATTGATAGTAACTGTCAGAAATTAAATGTATTAATCTATTTAAAATGCGTAATTTAATTACAGGTTAATGTAAGTAACTTGTTCAAGTGATGATATATTTCAAACAAAATTTAGCAAAAATGGCAGCTGTGTTGGAGCTGGGGATTTAGCTCAGCGGCACAGCGCCTGCCTGGCAATTGTAAGGTCGTGAGTTCAATTCCCTGTACCGGAGGCGGGGGAAAAATGGCAGCTGTGTTATGCTTTTGCAAATCTCCTTAATGTTTGGCTTAATAGATAACAACTGGGTCCTTCCAGCAAGCTCCTGTGCTCAGTCTGTTGCTGTGTATTCTGGTTGAGTATGTGAAGAAAATCCAGTTCCATGCCAGTATTTTGGGAGGGGATATTTTAATAACTTTTCCAGATAACTGTGATAATTCTTGTTCTGCAAAACAAGTGGTAATATCTTAAAGGTTAGTTATAATGTGGAATCTGAACGTTTTTCATACACTTTTTGTGTTCTGTTAAAATTCACTGGTCTGTTTTTTGTTTGTTTCTGTGCTATTGGGAATTGAATCCAGGGCCTTGTCCATACCACATTTTGTTCATCAGTGGATGGACATTTTTTTTTTTTTCTACTTTCGCTGTTATGACTAATGCTGTGAACGTTTGTGTGCGAGTTAGGTGGACACGTGCAGATTCACTTTGAACTGTCGTGTGTTTTACATAGATATGAACAGTACATAAACGTGAATATATATACTTGTTTCACAACCAAGTGTATTTGTTTTTGGTGTGAAATGTCTGAACAATATAGAAATATATAAAGTAAAATGTGGAGGTATTTCTTCATTCTTTGTATTTTGTGTACGCTGTTTCTTCATATTTTACCTCCCCAAATTAATCACTGCTGTGTATCTTTTTCCAGGTTTTCTTTTTGTGGGGGTTGAGTGCTGGAATTTGAACCCAGGATTGTGCACATTGCGTATACTGGGTGTTATGGTTTGTGTCTGGATGCCCCCTGCCAAAGCCTCATGCAGTCGTAGGTGTGGGCTTCTAGAGTATATGATTGATCCATGGTCCAGTGCTGGGATTATGGGTGTGAGTGCTATACCCGCCCTCTGGCGGGGAGGTTGCATACAATAAGAGGCTCCCCCTCACCCCTCCTTTTTGCTCTTGTTGCTTTTGCTGTCTTCTGCCACCATGAAATGTTGCCCTCTGCCATGTGCCACTCTGCCTTGGAGCCAGTTGATTATGGACTGAAACCTCCACAAACTGTGAGCTAAATAAACCTTTCCTTCCTTTAATTCTGGATGTCAGGTGTTTTGTCTCAGCAACAAGAGAAAAGCAAACACTGGGCAAACACTGTAGGCTGAGCTACATCCCTAGCACAGTATATTTTCTTTCTTCTTCCTCTTTTTCTTTCCCTTTGGAAACAGGGTGTCTGCTTGGTCTACACTGCCTTGTACTTGAGCTTTTCTTGACAGCCTTGAGTGCAGAGATTATAGACAAGTGCCGCCAGCAGCCCAGCATATTTTGTATATGCTGTATAGTCAGTGTATGACATACTGCTTTATATCTACCTTACAGAGTTATGTTTATGTAATTTAAGTACCTGGTATTGTAATGGCTGTCAGAATCCCACCTTGGCATCTTACTGTTTCACTTTGGGACATTTGGATTGTTCTAAATGTTTTTGCTTATATAAATGCTGCTTTTGTTGTCATTGCAGTGATTAAATTTTTTCCTGGCTTTTAGTTTCTTGACATGAGTGAATGGGTGGATGTAGTGTAATAAATTGTGAAGAAGGGATATAGTGGCATAAATTGACAGCTGTTTAAGGTGGCTTTAAAATATGAGGATGGAAAGCTGGGTTTGGTGGTACACACCTGTAATCTCAGCACTCTGGGAGGCTGAGGCAGGAGGAACTCAGTTTCAAACACAGCCAGGGCAGTTTAGTGATTTAGTGAGATATTCTCTCAAAATAAATTTTAAAAGGGCTGAGGATTTGGCTCAGTGTGAAGGTCCTGGGGTCAGTCCCCAGTACTGCCCCCCCAGTGAAGATGATCAGTAAACTGTCAGGTATCTGAGAAGCACTAGTTACGGATCAGTGTTGGGTATATTAATTTGGATTTTTTTTTTTTTTTTTTTTGAGACAGGGTCTTGATATACAGTTCAGGCTGGCCTTGAGCTCACTTTGTAGCCCAGGCTGATCTCAAACTCACAATGATCCTCCTGCCTCAGCCTCCCTGTCCTGCTTGAAAGTATGGGCTGGACATAGATGAAATTAGTTGTGTGAGGTGAGGACAAAACTTTGGGGAATGGGAATGTGTAAG